TTAAAAGTTTTACAACTGAGGTTTAACACGCCCAGATGCAGTTTTATGAAGAAAACAGACTAGAAAAAGGTTTAGATACCAATCATAGATGGCACGAGCAGTGCTGAAGTGGAAGGAAATATCTTAAAAAAACATTTTCCTCTTAGAGGGTGCTTATTTACAGTCTAAAACGTATTTTAAGAATTTTTTCATTAAATTTCTCTTTAAACTACATTAAATAATACAATTTTGTACAAATAACTGAATGTTATGCTACTATTTACAAAAATAAAATCTGAAATCCAATAAAAGATAAGTTCTCTATCATTTTTTCAATTCACAAATGTGATTTTGCCCTCAAAATAGAACAAAATGGCCACGGCAAGTAACGGGTTAAAATATAATTTTGTAGCATATCAATACCTTTGTCTGAGGTTAGTATTTCTAAAAATGCTATTATCTAGTAGAAAAGTCACATTCCCAATAGTTTACATGAAATTCCAACATTCGCAATCAATATTTAAAAGTAATAATTTATTTTATTTACCAACCTGATAGAAAAGAGATGAAACAATTGCAATAGTCAGCATCTTTCAATAAACACAGAATCCAAAAACCATCTCCACCCCAGGTTAGCCAGAAACCTTGACTTCCACATAAAATAGTAATTTTTGAAAGTTTCTTCAATGGCTTAATATCAACTACCTGGAGACTGGAATCTGGGTCACTACTGAGAGAGAATAAAATAATATATAAATATTTTAAACTATGTTCTATAACACTGGTCAGATATGCAAAGAAAACTGCAAATTACAATAAAGAAATTGAGTCACTATTAAAGTTTCATTACTGTACTACAATCAACGACATTTTGCTAAAACTGGCAAAGAATTTAATCTTTTTTTTTGAGTGTAATAAACACTTTCTCATCACATGTTATAAGAAACAATACAAATTATTTGTACCATACCACTCACTGACTCTTATCTCAGTCACTGTAAGTTTATGATTACAATAAGGAGATGCATGTAAAGGAATTGAATTTCAAACTAATTAAATATCTTTCTAATTCAACACATTGAAGTATACAACTGACAAAATGAAAAAGTCTAACTCATTATGAAACTAGCATGATTACTTTTTGAGTTGGTTGTCCTAAGAGTGACAAATACTTACTGGGAAAGATAAGATACAAAGTACTTTCTTTTTTTTTTAATATATACCCAGTTAATTAATTATCAAACATACAAAGTTTAAAACAGCTATTTGTGGAATAATATATTTATTTGAGTACAAGGTTTCATCTCTGACAGTGAGATATGATCATGCAAAGTACAAATATACTTAAATCACAAATACATCCAATCAAATAATAATGATTATAAAGATGCTAGCTCCATCTGTTTAATTTATATTAGGCTTTAAGAGTTGATTCAAAGTACTTTCACATTTTTTTCTTTTGTTTGAGTTTATCTCTAAATTCAATACTTTAACATTTTTAAGATTTATCTTGTGTTATTTTTCAATAATACCTTCATATATATTTGACTTTTTGTTTTTCATGTTCCTTGCATCTAACCATTATTTTCTTACTTGTTTCTTATACATTGAAGCTTTTAGTCTAAACATTGTTTTATGCATTTTACCACTGTCATATTTTTCATTATTTCAACAATAATTTTTGCCAGCTACTAAAGAAATAGATTTTTTAAAATCAATATTTGAGAATAGATTATAATACCTGATGATGTATTAGATCACACTAAGACGTTTAAAATAGTCTGTATTTTAACTGAGATAATCAAGCAAAGCCCATATGATAAAAGTAAGCACTAAGAAAACTTATAAGTTAGATATCAATTACTGAGATATGTTTGGTCAAAAAAACTACTCCTACTAATAACAATATTGTGTAACAACTACCATAAATTCTTGTGAAAAGTTCCACAGACAATGTACTAGCTACATTATGCATCACAAAGAAATGGATTAATCCAAGAAAACAAAACCTGACTGTAGGGTAACCAGCAATATTTGTACTGAGATATGCAAAATAAAATCTGTTGCTAAACCAAGTTAGTTGAAGAGAGATTTAGTTAGTTACTGAACTAGCCACCAAGTCAGAATCTTGATCCTGCTCAAGCCTGAAGTAATAGTATACCTCCATCATAAATCAATGTTCAGTTTTACTGTTACCTTTCGTATTCTTGTAAAATTTTTCCTTTAAGATGGGAGCAAGTTATGTCATCAAACAAATTATGGAAGAAAGTTTGGTATATTGATCAACAGTAATTTCTGATTCACTAACTATTTAAACCCAAGTATTAAATTAATGCACATTTGTTCTGACATCAAAATATTGGAAACCTTCTGTATTCATGATGTTAATGCAGTAAATAAAGCCTATATATATATGCATAATTACACACACAATTATATATATATTGTGAATTCTGCCTTTGTTTCTCGTGTGAACTTCTTGAGTTTGTGACCAGTTTGCTGTTCCACATCACAACAATCTATTCATGCACCAAATTACTTCTTTTATGTTGGTTACAACATTAGAGTTACAGAAATAAACAGAAACATACATAACACACCAACAGTTTTGCAACCAATCCAGCTAATTATTACTAGGATCCTCTATGCAGTTTACATAGAAAATGAGTGATTTCATCCAGCTCTTTAGGTTCATTCTTTAAACTGAGTATTGTAATAACCAAATCCATAGAATTAATTAATATGATACTATATATGTACCCTGACAGTAATGAATGAAATAAAAAGTTGGTAATTTCCTCAAAGGAATATTTAGAGAGTTGTAGTTGTTTTCAAATATCACATAACTGTTCAGAAGAAAATTTTAAATTTCTGTACATTTTTTAAAGTTAAAGTGTTTAAATATTAGAAAGAACTACATTTTTAAAATTCACACAAGTTTTGATTGGTTGTACATAGTAAAACTTTTATTTTCACACACAACATTTCACCAGGTTTACCTGGCATCATCAGATGGGATACAAAAACCGAGGTTAACATTCACCTTGTTTTGATATTTGGTTAACCTCAGTTCTTGTATCATGCAATGTCATCTTGATATTTGGTATAGAAATATGCCATAGGTTTCTTTTTTCTTTAGCATTACAATCTATTCTGAACTTCTTCTTTGTTCTGTATATGTGCAGGCTTTCACATATTACTTGATCAAAAGAACCATTAAGTCGTTTTGTTTTTTTGTGTCATTTTGAAAGTTGATAATACCTGTTACTGCCTAACAGCAACCTTGTCCAGGAAGTTGATAACAGTGTCTTTCAATGGTGGTACAGGTAACATCTAAATGTTGTAGACCCACTTATGTAGAATGAAACTGACCAATCATGTGGTAACAAAATCTATATGTAAATGCAATGTTTCTGTAAGGTAGGAACTTTGCATTTACTGAATATTCATTAAAGTCTTACCTGGCCTTGACCTGGTCATCTAGTAGAGAAGCAGCCATCCTTGGTTCATTCATGCAACCACAAACACTGTGTTTTTGTTTCATAAATATAGTGTTTTACACTGTGTGTTGTCTGGTTATTCCTTAGCATTAACTCAGTCAGTACAAGATCAGCATTATTTCACATTTTTGTAACTTAATCAAATCTCCCGTTTAGCAGACATATTTAAAATAGCTCAAAAGTATTTTCAGTTTACCTAAAAATACCACATATGAATACTCTCTTCATTGTTTTGTGGTATTGTTTATTATTGCTCACTTTTGATTTGTATATGTATATAATAAAGATACAGATATATGCTAATTTTAAAATCACAATAAATATATATAATCCATGGCATACTCTTCACTGCCATTTCTAAGAAGAATGTAAAGCTGAGTTTCTGAAAGCACTAGCAATCCTGAAACCTCTTCTAGTGATGAGTGTAGGACAAGTCCTGCCTGCAAGATACAGTTTTTATTTTATTAATACATTTTGTTCACTTTTGGGAAAAAAAAAATTGAAAAGAACATAAATAAATTTGCTTTACAAAAATATTTACTTTCTATTTTTTTCAGCAATATTTCATTTGCTATGCAACTTCTTCAATATTCTTTCACATTGTTGTATTTTTTTTCCTTTTAAACAGAGATATTCAGTTCAATGTCAGATAAAATACACTTTTACAACATAACAGAAATTATTTTCTACTTATATTTCCCTCCCTTAAGATACCTTTTTTAAAAGGTTAATAATACCTTTAACATGCCTGTAACCTCCTCTTCTCTGCCTAGTACATAGACTTCAAGGTAAAGTTTAAGACGATGGTCAATCTGCACAAAATCATTATGACTGACCCTTGTTCCTTCAGATAACATGGACCAAATGTTAATATTGTGACTCAAAGAAATTCTGCTCTCATCATTTCCTTCTATAACTCTAGATGATTGTGCTTCACATTTATTGGTATCTTTGACTTCAATGTTGTCTTGGTTTTGTTTAGTACCCACACTATCAAAAGGTACCTCAGGAATTGCAGAAATTTCTGATGATACAGAAGAAGTATTATCAGAACTATTAGTACACTGTGATGCCTCTAATAAACTTGCATTATATGATTTTTTTGAACCAGCATTTTCAGGTGTTATTATAGCAAGGTCAGTGTCAGATGGTTTTCCAGTTTGTATGGTTGTACAAACACTGCTTGTCATAGATCCTACAACAACAACAACAAAAAATGTGATTAAAGTTCTTAGAATTCACTTGAAAACAAACAAAAAAATTTGGGATAAATAAATTCATGTTAGATTGCAGATGTTTTATCACACATTCCTTATAATTTGTCCGTCACAGATTTCAAATCAGAGGTTTATAAAAAATGATTTGATTTACGAACTAGAGGAATTTAGCACCGGCTTCTTCTCTTTCCAACAATATCCTTTAAGTTCTCCTGCTAATATAATGCCCAAATCAATTTAAGTAGCATCTGTCGTTTCCACTTTATAAATATCAAAGAAAATTTACCAAGTCAAAATTTCTACCTTTTCTAAGCACGTTATGTTATACCGTAAATATTATATTATATATGAACAATATTATACATTATTTATATGTAATACATCAAACATTATAACAATAGAGGTGTAACATAAGCTCCCACACCCCTGCAAAGTGAGGAGGCCCCATATAAGGTAGGGGCCCCTGCCCCTGAGTCTCCAGGAGGCCTATGATTGGAAGTCAAGAAAAGTGTCAATCATAATTGGTTTAAATTTGTGGTCAGTAACTGTTCATTTCCTCAGGTGATACAGCTGTGGAGATTGTACCAACCCAGTTGTGATGCAACCAATGAGCACTGGAGAACGTGGAGGTGGGGGGTCAATGTTCGATGCACACATGGTTTTAATCATGTTACCATATTATCTCTCATATTCAGAGTGACATATTTTTGTGATGACACAAAATCTCAATACCAAATTGATATAACACAGCTTAATGGTTGAATACCTGATGAAACACTTTCTGCAGTTAAGCTTCTGTAACGATTTCTTGTCACACCGGGGTAGTTGGATGTATCTAACTTGCTGAAATCACTTATATGATGTGGAGAAGCAACACTGGAAAACATTAAAGATAATGCACATATCTGTGAAACATTACATCTTTTAGACACAAATATAGTCATACAAATCAAATAGTTGGAATGGATATAAAGGTAATAATTAATGTTAAACAGATTTTAATGCAGAATCTTTCACTGAAAAATGCAATAAAAAAATCGCCAATTATTAATAGCTTGATACTACAATCAATTAATGGCTTAAAAATTTTGAAAAAGTTATTTCCTACGAACTTATGTAAGTGTCATTTCATAACATTGATAATGTGTTGCATAAACTTACTACAAGGTGATAAACCTGATTACTGACTTACGGACTACAGACACTTGATTTTTCAGAAATCACTTCTAATCCTTGAACAGCTTGTTCTGAACTAGATGAAGAGATCACAGCAATGCTACTTTGGCTAGGGTTACTCAGTATTGTAATGTCACTAGAGCTTCTTTTGAAATCTTCTCTGTGCTTAAGGACTGAAGAACACACTGGATCTAAGACTACTTCAGATGATACAAGGGAGCTGGTTTCTGATGATGACTTTGTGGGTTTCATTTGGTCCTTTTTATCTTCACCATCATCTAAGAATATAAAACCAGGAATATCTTTAGGAAAAGCTGCTCTGTTGTCAAACACATAATTTTATAATACTATATCTAAACATATAATGTCAGGAGAGCAAATAAACTAAACGAACAGTAAAATAAGCAGGTTAGCATATGGGGTAATAAAAAGTTCATATTTAAAGGATATAACAAAGGTATGAGCAAATAAGTAATGAAAACTAATGTTAATGCGTACTATGGTAATCATAACAATTTAAGGCCTAACACATGGTTTGGTATGGAAAATTATATCTATATTGTAATTATATGTTTATTTATTACCTTGAAAATCTAGAGAAACACTTCGACCATGACTGTACTTCTTGTATCTTAAGTTTGGACTGCAACTGATAACTCTGGATCCATATGGTAAAGATTTTGACCTGTAAATAATTTCCTTTCATGACATGCACATTAACACAGGATTACAACTCTTCCTTCTTATTATACACATATTCATATCCAACTTTTCTTCAAATATGTCAATTAGGGATAACCCTATGACATCAACTTGGTCAAAGAGTACAGAAATAAATTTAAATTTGATTAAATAACGTAATTATCAATGTAGTTTAAAAAATTGACATTAACATGTAGTTTATGATTCAAGTTTTATATTATGTAAGTTTTAACCTCTTAATTTCAAAAGGAAATATTTAAATCAGTTCTCAATCTTCACTTCTTTGTGTCATGTGACACAACTTCCCTTTGATTTCTTAGAATTTCTTTATTCCTTGTAAGAACTTTAAGAGTGACACCAATTAGAAACACAAACTATAGATATTTACAAGCCAATATATAAAATTTCAATCCCTACCTTCTCAAATTGCTGAGATATAAATATATTTGTTAGACCAGCCAGTGAAGCTCCTCCCATCTTATCATAGCCATGAAGAAATTTATCTATACCATGTGATAAGAACTTTAATTACCAATAGAAAGAGAAATTTTCTGGCTAATAGAATCTTATTAAAGATATTTCTTTTTGGTATGCAGATGTAGATAATATTCCTCAGATGGCTTTTGTGTGTTCATTATTGTTCAGCTCTTAGGAGCTAGTGAAATTATTTAAACCTATTTATAGACTAGTTAGCAAGCCAGTTAAATTAAAATAGGTTTAGGACATTCTATTCAACTGTCTGATATATTTTTTATGTTCTAATACTCACATTTGAAACCTACATGAATTTATTTATTTGAAGAAGTTAGTTAAAAGTTAACATTTTCTTACTTGCTAAAAAAATTTTCCTACAGCACACGAGTTTTATACCCCATCAGTTTTGCATCATTTCAGAACATATGCTGATCATGTGACTAATCTCCACCAATTGTATTGTGCCATCTATACTGACGCAGCTAGCTCCTGCTACTATTCCAGAATAATCCTCACTTTCAAGAATTGGCAGGCACAAACCATAAATACCGGCATCTCAGTGGGGTGGGAAGTACCTATCAGAAGTACATTTTTCACAGTAAGAAAATGTTAACTTCTGAAACGGTCTACCTCTTTTCACCCAAAGCTACAATCTCACATTGCCAAGGTGGAGGGGCCAGTGAAGGTGCATCAATCTCAATTCCAGTAAAAAGAGGCCGCAATGAAAGATTGGGTGTGCTAGAATATGAAGAGAAAGCACATCAGTGAGATACAGCAATACTTTTGGAACAGGTATGCTTTTCTCCCAGCAATCAATACAGTAAAACATTTGGGGCGGAACTGAATTGAGAAGCACCACTCAAATAAAAAAACAGATGTACAGCACTGAAACAGTGTAGGAAGTACTGGATAACAATGATATGAATCAGTATGGTGTTGACAACCACTTTCCCTTACATGTATATGCCAAGGGAAGTGTGCCAAGTTCAGTTCATCTGGACAAAAAATCCAGTAGAAATGCCTTTATAACATATATCAACCAACAAGTATGGTCTGCCTGGACAAAAAAATCCAGAGTAAGCACCTTGGATATGTAGGATTATGAAAGATACAAGTTACTGTTAAGATTGCAATTGTGAAGGTCATCATAACTAGCCCTCTGTCCACACCCATGTCATAACAAGCTATCGTAAGACACAAGATGTAGTACCCAACATTGAAAATGAATCACAGCATGGTGCCAGTAAATGAGCTAGGGAGAAAAATGAAATAACAATACATGGCTAGGGCATAAGGACCATGAAATGCATTTGAATAGGACAAGTGTGGTCCACCCACGCAAAAAACATCTAGGAATACTCCTTGGAATACATAGGATTATGCCAAGTGCAGTCCATCCAGGCAAAAAACATCTAGTGGAAGCTCCTTGCATAAGAAATATATGATGAAAAAGTGCAGTCTGCCTGGTCAAAAACATCCGGGGAAACACCTTGGATACTGAATATTATTGTATAATTCATTGTTCAGTACTGTAATGATTATAACAACTGTAGCCCTCTTCTCATTGAGTATGTACATAAGGGCAAGAAAATTTTTGGTTTTTCAAAACCCACCTAGGAGGAAACTTCTATGGTCCACCACTCCAGTGACTGGGAACCTGAGGTAGTTAGGACTTCCATGCTCCACTAGAAGAGTGGGAAGGAGAGGAATGTGTTTTGGGGAGTCTGAAAAATGATACACCAGAGACAGCGCAATGGATGCTTGAGATTCCCTATTTTGAAAAGCAGATAGGCCCCAATTGTAGGAATCACAGGTCAGTAGGAATGGGAAGAAATGCCCATCTGCTTTATTCATGAGGATTATGAGTGATGGTCCTTTATAAATGAAGCTAGTAAACAGTGAGCATTATAGAATTATTCATATGTAGTACAAATATGAAGCATACCTGATCAGGCAACACCTGCCACCAGGTGGGATCCTGAAATACAATATGTAATAACCAAAACTTTTATAAGAAAAGTAAAATGTCGACATACCACAGAAGGTAGACAATTCCTGTCCAAGGAAGACACAGCCAGATTGTGCAGATAATGTGTGATAAAGGTATTGGGACTTGTCCACATCCCAGCCTGAACAATCTCCTCCAAAGGCCAACAAAGGTGAGCAGTGAAAGACATAGTTAGATGGCAAATTGGGTGTGAAGAAACATTGTGCAGATGGCAACCTTCCATGGAAAAGTCAGAATACACCAGTCATATTTAATTGACAAACCCAACCAGTGAGTGCAATAGGGAGACATATCATGGGACACAGAGGGAATCCTTGGAACAAATAGGCAGGAAGGATAACATGAAAGGAGGCATAACATTTCATGGAATGAACCGGACAAAGAAGCCTATCCAGAACTGAATGGAAGTACAGGTGGGAAATGGAAGGTACGGAAATAGGAGAGAAGGCCAAACCATCCACTTGTGCAGTAGATGTCTAAGAAAGGACGGCCTGATCAGGATAGAGGATAACATAAGAATAATGGTAAAGGATGCAGGAGACATGAATGGCATAACTATCAAAATGATGATGACCCCAACCAAGGAGGAGAAGGAAGAGGATGGGAAAGATGTTACAAGGAACATGTAGCAATGGGTTCAAATAGAGAACTGGACAGGGCATGAAGGACAAAATTGAGATCAATATGGCAAAACAAAGGAATGTGGAGGACGGATAAGACAAAAAGAATGGAAAATGAAAGAAATAACAGGGGAGGAGAAGGCTTTCCAGAAACAGGAGAATTGGAAGGTGTTCAACAGAGCAGTCCTATAACTATAAACAGTTGACCTGGACCAACCTTGATCAAATAACTAAGCAAAGAACTGGGAAAGATAAGGTACCGAAGGACAGGAGGGGTAGAAGCCACGGTGAACAGATTTAGGTCTGAAGGTAGACTACCACCTCTGGTACACAGACTAGAAGAAAGGTCAAATTGAATGAGAAAGGAAAGACACTACATGAGGAGTGAGTCCCTGAACTGAGGCAAGGGACCGAACAAAAGCCACATGTGAAGGTGGAATTTGGTATGTCAGAATGAACTATGTTTAATCATGTATGTCGTAGGAGAGAACTGGGACTAAGAGAAGGGCAGGGGTTGTTGTTCAAGTAAGGGCCAGAGCAGAGGAACCACATCTGAGTAGGCCAATATGGAGCAACAAGCAGGAAACAACAAGGAGTGGTCTGGATAAGGAAAAAGACTCTGTAGAGGAGTCTTATCAGAGGATAGGTATAGAGGTGAAGACCCCCCAATCCTGACTGAATGCATCTACTTCCAGAGCTAAAGGATGTGGAGCTAGAAACGAAAAAGGAAGAAAGTTTTGCATTCCAATGATTGACAAACACATCTATATGTGGTGTTACCATAAGACAAGAGACTTGAAAGTAAAACCGACAATGAGAATGAAAAATCACCCAGTTAACAATAACAAAATTTGACTCAAATCTAATCCCAAATTAGATGTGACTAGTAGTGAAAAAAAAAAGGAACTTACAAATAAATAACATAAACAGTGAAAGGATCTATAAATAACAAACCAACAAACTCACAATATTGGTTGAATTTACAAATACCCAAATAGTAACTATCGTGCAAAATCTGTACACAAACCAAACATTAAATAAAAACAAAGTAATAATCAAACTCTAAATGCAAATCTAAAGTAACTTAGATGGTAAAAGAATTATAAAAATCAAATTTACCAAATATTGAGAAGAGAAGACATGAAAGACCTAAATTATCACATGAGAAAATTAGGTCAATCCACACAAGCACAAAAACTCACTAAATGTGGGTATACCTACTAGGAGTGAAGAAAATACGCTTAAAACTTATCACAGATCTCCTGGGAAAAGAACAATACATAACCCTGGAGATTACATGGAGGCACAGTAACAGGTGGAAGGTGCTATAGAAATAACTCGTCAACCAAATGTAAGACACAAGCTCCCCATAAACTAAAGCCTGTACTTCCCAAGTAGATATCGTCGACCCAGAGACAAGTGTCAGAACCATTGTTGACTGCTGCAGGAATTTCATCATCTACCATATTAAATCTTATATTAATATGAACAAATTAGAATTTGGAAAACAGAAATATTTTTGAAAACAAATGTGCAGAAATAATGGAAATCAAACACAAGAAGTAGAAATCTGAAGTTAAAAACTGATATAATGTGATCAAGCATAATCAAAGAGTGAGTTAAAACATACATCTACTCACTAGAATGCCAATCAAAACAGTGGGGATTGTTTTAGAATAGTACAGGGAGCTAGTTGCAACAGTATAGATGGCACAATACGATTGGTGGAGAGTAGTCACATGATCAGCAAGTGTTCTGAAATGGTACAAAACTGATGGGGTATAAAGACTGGTGCGCTGTAGCGAAATGTTTTAGGAATTCTTAGAGGGCAGACCAGGATCGAGATAGCTTTGGGTTAGAGGAGGTAAGTACGATTTTGGAAAAAAGTGACACCTTGCACAGTTTTGGCTTGCACTTGCAAAGATCACACAGGTCATGCAGATTGCTCATGAAATTCACAATATATGCTAATGATCTCCCACTGTAGTTTTATTTCTTTTTGATGGGAGGATTAATGCTCAAGTAGGTACAATAGGCAAGAATAAAACCACAGAAAACTGATGTGAAAAGGTTTATAGACATAACTATGAAGATAATGTAGACCATTCACTTAGTGAAATGATCCATTGTTAGAAGAAGAAAAGAAAGTATTGTCCATTTCATTCAATATTTTTTAACTTTCCATTTCACTGTACATTGATGGTTTCACTACAATTAAAGCAGAAAAAACAACAGATAAAATATAAAGTTTTAATGAAGAAAAAACTTTTGATATTCATTTAGGAGGTTCTATAATTTATGCAAATCAAATATGAAAACTGTAAAATGAAAAAGTATTTCTTTTCTTAATGTGAAAATCACCCTAATCTCAGATTAACTCAGTAAAAGCTTTGAAAACTGACAGATCTTTAGTGGAAATACTTTATTAAAAACTCTGATTTTTTGCTTACAATGTTGTTTATCATTATTAAGCACAAAGCTACACAAAGGGCTATCTGTGCTCTGCCCACCACGGGTATCGAAACCCGATTTCTAGTGGTATAAGTCCGCAGACATTTTTTTTTTGAAAAAAACAATATTTTATCTGTTATTTTCACTATTGTATCTCTGTACATGTTGGTTAGATTTGAACGACTTCATAACCTCATTAAAAAATTAGGAAATGAATACAAATTATGCCTTTCTCATTCTAGAATGACTAGAAATTATAACACAAAAGCAAAAATGTTTAGTCTAAATAGCTTACATTTCATAACATTATACATTTACATATATTTATTTATTTTATTATATTGACCTTTCATCTGTGCCTGGCTAATCTTATTGAAGTTGCAATGACATGGCACACATGCACTCATGTTACCACATCCAAGAGTATAAAACTGGCCTTTACCAAGTGACCTGTCTTGGCTGTGTTTTAGTGGGCTATTATTTCGTAAAATGCAGTCACATTTCAGTTACAATACATTATTACTATTTATAAATAATTCTTAAAGTTATTTTTCTTAAAACATAGAACAGTAAATAAAGAAGTATAGCAAACAATTATCTCTTCTAGTTATGAACTTTGAACTCATTTGCTGCTTGCCTCAGGTTGCTAAGCCTTATCAAATTTCTCATGTGGATGTGAAACAAAATAATTTTTTTCGGTTTTATATATACATTTGAAATAACCAAAAAGTCATAAATTACTATATCAATACCATAGCTTAGTAACTAAGTTGAATTTGGGTCTAAAAAATATGAACTTTCAAGTAGACTAAAGACTCAACTTACCAGCTTGAAGATTTCTTTCGAAAGAACGAATTGATGTCGCTATACTTCAATATGGCTGAGAAAGTCACTAATGGGACATCCTGAGCTTTTGATTGGTTATTCATGTGTCAGAGACAGAAGTATTTGTACATAAGGAAGTGTTTCCAAAAATGGAAAGTGGTGGGCAGGGCTAATGTGTGTGGTTCAGTACATGAGCAATATCCCAGCAAATAGAAAAGCTAGGAGGTTCTTATTATATATATTCTAACTTATCAATATTGTTAATTTGAGTATTTAATTCATAAGAAACTACAAACTTTGTATTTGGATATCACAAGCATCTAACTTAAATAAATGCTGCATTCAACATACCTTGTGACACACAAAAATCGATATTTAGGATTTCTTTTTTAATAGTTACTTTTAAATTAAGAACTTAATTAATGGATAATAATAACATATGAATTATAATCTACAGTTTGATACCAAACATAATTCTTGAAGCCAAAAATAAAATTACAAATATTAATATAAAAAAATTAAATATAATTTAGTTATAAGAACTAAAAAATGTTACTGAAACAACTTGTTAAACTTATTTAAAACATCACTGATTTAATAGATAAGTCATTTAATTCATTCCCAAAAATGTGGTCTTCCTGATTTTTTTTTATTTCTTGTGTACATACATATGTATCTGTGTCTTTATGCTTAACCCTTAAAAACTGAAAATATGTTTTATCAGGTTACATAGACCTTAAGGTATTATTTTTTTCTTTAGAAAATATAGAAGTTGCTTAAAAATATATTTTACTGTTTCATAAGCTTACACTACTCTATGAAAATAATAGAAATTTAAATGCTATTATAAGGACAAAAATTAATTATGAGCAAAATAAAATTTTGTGGGGCCATATAGATTCTAGTAGTTAAAGATTAGACTATTAAAAAAAAAAGGTTATGCTTCTCATTTTAGAATAAAAATATAATAATGAAAATAATGAGGAGAATAAAAGATACTCTAAATTAAAAGAATTTCAAAGGTGCATGAATGTGCATATAAATGTATTTTATGGTCTTAACCTGTAAAACACAAAGTTACATAGTACTAATTAATAAAAGTGTAAAAGAAATTAGTACTAAAATTAGAACATTCAACTGTATTGCACCAATCATATGCCTATTGAAATGTGTTATACTTAAATGAAATCTACGCATTATTTGAATAAAGTACTTATGATGTTTTAATAAGTTTTAGCTTGAAATTATCATGTTTCTTTCAACAATATATTATTAACAACCAACTAGTTCATTACAGTTGATACTTAGATTATTCAATTATTGAATTATTTACTTTAACTAATTCTTGAGAATAGTTAGCTTAATGAAGGAATTTCTACTTTAACATCACTGATTATTTGGTGCCACTTTAGGTAGAACAAAGATCCTTATGCCCTTCTGTTGGACAGTGCTGATTTAGAAAAATACAAGGAAGAGACTGGATGAGATCCCCGTACTTGTTGTATGGTAGCACTGTCCATTATAGCTTTAAAGTATCTAGGTAAGCATAGAAGTATATCTACAAGCACAGAAATAGTGAAACTAATCATCACGATTTAAACAACAAGTAGAAAAAGAAAAATAAGAACACCATAAATTTTTTGGTCATTAGAACAGTGAAATCTGAAGTATCTTGATTCTATTATACTTTGAAACACATTTCAAGTCAGAGAAAGAAATCAGTACTGAATAACATACCCATTATCTGTATTAAAGTTCTTTCCATATATATCCGAGGAGAATTTTCGTGGAGAACTAGATAAGTGAGAAGCACTGTCTGAAGAGTGTGCAGTTTTCTGTGGCATGAAATGGGATGAAACTTGTAGAGTAGTCGGTCTTTCTGCAGCAGGTAAAGGACAAGAATCAAGCTGCACCACAACTGTGCTCTCACAGTTTGGACAAACTTCAACTTCACTATGATACTCTGAAATTGTGTCAACATTTATTTAATCAAAGGGTTAGAACTTGTTTAACTACTGTATTTACTTAACTACATCCCAGTATCATCACACCTGATTTTTAACTTAATACTTATATGAAAATTTGTACAAGTTACTCACAATTTTCTCTTGCACAATTAGTAAAACTTGTTTCACCAAACTAAAAACAAGAACAAAATTCAATAAAGGGTATGTTTAAAAAACATATAAATACCACAACTTTCGTTTATGATTATTAAAGATGACAGAACCTTGAATTTACCATTCAAGTTAAGACAGTGCTGAAACGTTAAGATTTTATATTTTATGGTATTAAAAGGTTTTGCATTACATTGATTAACTTTTGAAACTGTAACTAAATGAAGGTAGTTTTGGAATGACATTTTGTACTTCTAGTGAATATTTACATGTTTATTTGAACACGAAAATATATTTTAAAATTTAAAAACATTCTCTAAAATGTGTACAAGTGTGTCAAAAATCACTTAAATCAGTTCTACCTTGTCATGCAGTACACTGAGAGTATAAACAGGAATCATGAATATGAAAAAGGTTAAAAACTAAACTAATTAAATGCACATTTATGTGAATACAGGATAACAGTAGAGAATAAAGATGACAACTGATAGTTAGGCTCTCAGAAATGTTTTATATAAAGTCAATTAATGTTCTTCTTAATTTCCTACAAATATTCTAATTAATTTCAAATTATTTTGAGAATACAATAGTTGACTTGGACTATGTAATTCTCTAGTAAGTTAAGCTTATATTTCTTTTGCCTTATTACTATAATGTAGATAGTAAATAGTAGGCTTATTCATTAACTGTTATGACATTAACGACTGAGAAGATAGCAAAATGAATCAACAGTGTTAAGCCTAATTATTGATAAGCTAAATACCCAACTTCACTGTCTTTAAAAAAAGTTCTATCAGATATGTTACAGCATACTAAATTTTATTTCATTAGATTAAAAATGAAAGAAGTATATTGGCTTACTTAGTTAAGCATTTAAAACTTTTGTTCTTAGTTGACTGTATTGAAAATATATACATATTCGTCATAATTTCTTATACATATTCTAGTTGATTTTGAGTTATTTTGAAAATACAATAGTTAATTTGATTAATCTACTTAGTTTCTGCAACTATATACTAAATTTGGATGCTAGACTTTGCTTGCATTTGCTTGTCTTATTGGTATAGTGTCGAGTGCTAAGCAGTTTTAATCCCCACTTCTTTATATTAAAGAGAAGTTAACCCACCTATTGTAGTTAGAGCAGTTAAAAAATTCACTAATGTGGTAATGGATCAAGGTATTACCATAAATCCTAGTTATGATAAAATTAAAAGTAATGTTTAGTGTTGACATATGTTCCAGGTTTAACTTCTAGTTTATTTAAAGTACTTGGAAGACAACAGATATTTTACTCCATGTTTAAGCTGATGAATAAGATAAAACAAATTTTAATACTAATTAATACTAAAGATAATATACAGTTAATAGAAAAAGCTGGAAATTATAAAATTGAATGTGAATGTGGAAGTGTTTATATTGGACAGACAAAATGTAATTTGAAATATTGTTTAGCAGAACATAAGGGATGTGTAAAAAAATTAAAGAACTGAAAATTCATCCATAGCAGAACATGTACAAAAAACAGAACAATAAAATATTATGAAAAAAAAAACAATAATATTGGCTAAACCTAAGGGTATCAGAGCAAACAATATCTGTGAATCTTTAGAAATAATAAGGTTTAAAAAAATCATGAGTTATTAAATAGAGACAAAGGTCTGGCAAATATCTGTGTAAGAATGTGGAGGCACCTCCTCTGAGAGTTATGCAGAAATGTAAACTTACAGACAGGTCATGTGACCTAAGAATGAATATATATGACATTTATGTCTTGCCCATTCACTCCTGATGATGACATGGTAAACATTGAAATATGTAAAATCCACATTTTAGAAGCTATAGATTGGCCTGAATTAAAAATGTGTATTGATTTTAATGTTTCGTGTTTATTATTTATTATTTTACACAAAACCACGATTTAGTCCCAATTTTGTATGATGAAAAAAATTATCATAAAGTCACTAGCTCCATAAATGTACTAGACACAACACTGTGGTATCATTGAGACTTGTGATCTAAAACTGAAGTTCTATAGATTAATAGAGATGATGGAACAAATTTCAAAGTGTATAGTCTATTAGACATTGCGAGTCTAGCACAGTAAGTAGCAAGACACTCTGAGTGAAGTAAATATATCCTCCTTCTGGAAATTATGGTCATTTTTTCATCATACAAAATGTCTAAGTTACTCCAGTCAGCACTTCGTAGTACAGTTCTAGTCACCACCTTGATAACTTAAAATATGTAAAGGTAATTATGGGTACAATTACAAATTTAAAAAATTATAATTAAGTATTTGCAAAAGTAGCTAATTAGCAAGTATTTACTAGCAATAACCTGTCTACTAGATGCAAAAATTATAAAAATTAGTTATTAAAAATTATACATATATATACAGTTATGAATTTAAAGTACATATGCATAAAAAGTTATTTGTCAAAATATAAATGGAGTTATTTAATAAAACTTCTATTTGCATATCATTCTAATCAAAATTATATTGTAATCTAAATAAAAACATTAATAAATAAATGGACTCACCTTTATTGGAATAAATATTTTTTAAATGTTGCATTTCTACTGGTCCAGACACCTTAACAAGTTTACGCTTAGCAACATCCTTAGAAAACTCAGCTAGACATTTCTGACACTGAAAAATAAATTGACATCACCCATATCAGTTGAGAAATCTCTCTTTGAATCCTTTTTTCAAACTAGCCCCACAAAGTACTTAACAGAACACTGTAATATCTTTAAGACTTGTCGTCTAAAACTTACAATTTCTAACAATTTTGTAAATTGGATTATTCCACAAAAATAATAAAATTAGTTTTAAGACAATAAACAC